GCTGGGGCCTTGATCGCCCCAGGGCCTAAAAATCGCCGGGTGGACACCCGAAAATGTGCCGGCCTATGCGCTGGGGGGCCAAACGAGTGGAGATGCTCTTAGTCTGGAATGCTCAAGGGAGGGTCATTACTTTGCCATGGATGATGGATGGCCATCGCTTTCCATTGCCTCCCTTTGTTTTCTCGCAAGCAATAATATTGATCTCGTCATTCTTCAATGGCCCTACAAAACTGAAGCCAGCATTTTTGCAAAATAAAGTTGATTGGATTTCTTAGAGCAACGATATAATTTTTTTACTGTCTAAATATGTAATAGATGTCATGTGGTCCTCTATTTGAAATGAACAGAGAAATAGCAAATTGACAGTAATAAACACATCCGATTCAATGTGATATGGATACATTATTGGTTTCAATGCACGTCTTTTTAGATTACCCGCCATCTTATTGAAATGCAAGGCCGCACATATGAATATGATTGAGCTAGTACAAGAAGGAAACCAATAACACAATGATGCATGCTCACGATTAGAATTAAACATTCCACCCGGCTGAGTTTTTGGACAAACTGATAGGTGCATGCAATTCTAAACCGTCACGGAGCAAAATATTTTGACTTCAACGTACAGATGCAATTTTAAATACTTAACTGTGACTGACTTTCGGCTGCCGTTTAGGCCCAAGGTGGCAACACGTGATGTGTTGAATACAAGTGCATTGCACACCTCTGCCCATCAGTTCGAGGTTTTCAGGTGAACTGACCTGTGGCAAGTGCAGACCGACCCATTGGAGGACAAGTTAGCTGGGAGATGAAGGCCCATCTCCACCATTTCCAGGCGAACACGCAATTCTAAACTAAACTACTCGTAGACAAACTTTACTGAACTTGCATTGCACACCTTTAATACGTACTATGTGCATTTTCATTTCGGAAAAGAGCAAGAAGGCCGGTGCTGCGCGGCTGGGATACCGCACGTAATCCGCAGACAGAGAGCGACATGGCCAGTTTCCTACGTTTTCGTCGAAGACGACACGGGTCTTTGCGCTGGTTAAAAACACAAAGTCCTCGCAGCAGTTGCATGCGCCCTAGCTACTCCCGAGCTAACACTGTCCCGTTCCGTGCTGTAACGGAATAATTACGTCCGTCCGGACTACACTAATTAATCACTTGACGAGTGGTTCGACAGCAACCTTCGAAGATGCGGCCGGTGATCGAGCCGGTGCATGCATTCATGCCTTCCCAGCCAAACTCGAATTGAGTTACTGAAACTGAAACTGCTAGGTCTAAAAAATTGATGGACAGTTCTGCGCTGTGCCGTCCCCTACAAAGCATTTTGTGCGGATTCATTCGACGGACGGCAGCGAAGGGGGAGGCGTGCACGTACGTGGCCGTGGCGAGCTAGGCCGGATGTGTACAGGACAGGGGTGAGACTAGACTAGCTAGCGCAATGGACGGCTGGCACCGGCGGCGGCGGTCGCTTTCGGGGGCTCTTCTCCCGACTGCGCCCGGGGACTGGTCGGCCACCGCCGGCCGGCCCGACCCCAAAAGGCAAAGGCAGGCAGGCGCGGGGAGTCCACGCGCGGCCGGCGACGGGCCCACGCCGGCGCACACGCCAGCGCGACGTCACCATTACGACGCACTAGCAGGCGACCATCTGTGTTACTACTATTCGGATCAAAGGATGCAATCGAATTCCATTTTGCTCGAATCTCGTGCCCCAGATTTTCCCGGATATGCATTGCACCGCCTGTCTGCGGAGGGTTCACCGAATGAGAATGCTACGAGCTAGGCAGCTATAGCTAGCTAATCGCCGTTGCTTTACACTTAAAAAACCCGGCACATCATGCTTTACTTGTTCGCGAACAATGCGCTCGCTCGCTCCAATGATCAAGCCTTTGATGGTTGCCTTCCCTGCCTCTCGAAGCAGCAATGGTCCACCGGAAAAGGAATGAAATAAACTAGCCAGAACAAACTTTAATCCCAGGCGGCTGGTGATAGCTGGTGTGGTCTTGATATATATTATCCCATTTTATATGATGTGTTTTCGCGGTCAATTATGCTGTGATCCATGCTGAAGCGCAAAAAAAGGGGCTCTTTGGTTCAATTAAAGGAATTGCATATGTTCCTAAAAAAGGGGAATTTGATATGATTTTCATGACCTCTCTGATCCCCCATGATTCTAATGTACAATAATACATGGGGCTGCCCTCTTTTTTTAGAAAACAAGTATTACAAAAACATACATGATTTGAAATGCCACGTATTCTTGAATGCTATAGGATTGGATAGCCAAAGAATTAGCACCATATATGTTTGCCACGTCGCATGAATGCCAAGGAATTATACAAGAGTTTTTACTGGATGGGAATTTTCATCCAAAATAGAGTTTAAAGAAATCATTTGGAAAAATTCTAAGGATTTGGATCCTAGTCAAACAACCTTCACGCAGAAATTTCCTTAGGTTTTAAATACTCCAAGAATATCAATAAAATTCCCCTTAATCAAAGAAGTCGGGACCGCTTTGATTCACCGGAATTTTTGTTGATATTTTCTACCGGCAATGATGAACATGGGGCAAGGCACGAACAGAGAACCCAGCGGGGTGCACACGAGACAAAAGGGTTTACCTAGGTTCCGAGATGCGGTATTTACCTTACTTCCTGCCTTTGTGTACTGTATTGATGGTTGCCACGTGTGAAGCTAGGGTTTGTGGTGTTCCAAAGAGTTACAAGGTTGAGGGGAGTGTACCGATCATGATTTAGTAGTCCTATGCAGTTACTGTTGAACTTACTTTATCTGGTAGAATGTGCCTTGTACTTCAAGCTGATGATACGTCCCGTATAGTGGATGAACTCCGAGTCATTGGCCGGGCCCACCTGTGGCTACTGGGCCGAGTTTGTCCTTCTTGACTATACCCTGGGGTCGTGGCATCGTCAATTTCAACACGCAGGAGTAGGAAAGAAAAATACAGAAATGAGATCTCATGACATGCATAATTATACAAGAAATAAAAAGACAAGAATGTGTAATAGATGTTGTTTTGTTGTGTCCATGGTTTGTGCAAAAATACTACATGTGAAACGATCTAGAGCACACGTGGGGTGCCATGTTGGTGTCACGCGTCTCGATTGGCTATGTAGTAGCACTTCACTCCCTCTTATGCCACATCATGTACCCAAGTTTGAGATATCCAACTTGATGCATGAAAGTGAACTTCATGGACAACTTCTTGTATCAACGGTGCAATTTACTCCTTTTTAATCATGCAAACCAATGATACCCGCCACAATTCATGGTGGGTGCTACACCACTAGAGAAGGACCTGAAATATTTCAGTGTCTTGGAACACACTGTCTCCTTCAAGAAACATGAGGTGTGCGCACATTTTAGATGGCCTATTTACTAAAAAAAAGAATTTGTTAAGCAATATGCAAATTATTACTAAGTAGTAGTAGCAAAAAGAATTGAGAGAGATAGAGTGATAGCAAAAAAAAAAAGAGTGAAGCAAATTGATATTGCTGGATTCTTGTACTAGTATTAAGACCGGTCGTGCTAATCATGGCGTTACACTGGAATGGTTGACCACACGCAAACGGCCGGGAACACCGAAAACTCCTCCGCGGTTTCAACACCGCACTCCTTGCTCCCGCGACCAGTTTCAACTCTATGCTCAGCGAGTCTGCAAGGGTCCAAGGATTTCCCTAGCGTCACTGCATGAGGACGTGCGGTGTTTGACTTGATCCGCACATAGCCGCGTGACTCACTCTACACATATGCGTACACTCTCTGCCTAGCTAGCCAGCCAGGCAAATATTCTAATCCCATCAACGAAAAATCCAGGAACGGACGAGCATAAACTCGCTACGAAGCAGCCACTGCACCCCCCATCCATCAACCCCAAAGGTCAGAGCTCACAAGTCAGAGCCCCCTCCGTCGATCGATCGTGCTCGTGCTCGTGCTCTTCACTCACCGCGTCACCCAAGTCCACTCCCCAGCCAGTACTGTCCCAATCCCCCGCGGCTCGATCGACGACCCGCGTATATAAACCATTGGTTGTTTCCCTCCACTACACCGGCCCAGGCGACCGATTGAGATGGCGGAGGAGTGGTGGGGCTCCGCACGAACCGGCGGCGACGCGCTCTCGGCGTGCTCCGCGACCCCTGCCGGGTCAGAGATCAGCGGGACTTCGGGGATGAGTTCGGGGCCTGCAGGTCTACCGGACTCCACCGCAGCCGCCTCGCCGTTCTTCCTTGCTGATCCGCAGATGGATTGGACGCAATCCTTCATGTAAGTAGGAATTAAATCGTTCTTGTATTAGCTAGGCTAGCAACCCTCGTCTCCATTTCGTTGACTCCGTAGTCCTTAATGATACCCCTCTGAGTATCTCGGTCTCGTGCATGGCTAGCAGGGCCGCGAAAGTAGGGGCAGGGGCCGACGCTCCGACGAGCTTCAACGCGTTGCTCCACCTGCAAGGAGACGCGAGCCGCCAGTTCCTGCTCGATCAGGCGGAGCATCCGCCTCCCGTTCTGGCTACCCCGTACACCGACCGCGCGTCGCATCAGGGGTCCGTGTACGCGGACGGCCTGTACGGCTCCAGCTTGGCCAGTAGCTACGGTGACACGCATGCTGCCGCGACGACGAAGCCGTTCTCGCAGCAGCAGCAGCAGCACCAGTTCCCAGATTTCTTCAGCTCGACGGGGCTCTTTGGCGCGCCGGCTCCGACCCAGAGGGCACCGCAGCCTCTCCTGCAGGCTCTAGAGCCCAAACTCCTCAAGGTATTCGCATAGCTAGCACCTACTACTTACTGATTGCACTTTGCACGCATGAAGTTATGATGAACTAGGGTTCCTTCTGACATGGTTTCTGAATTTGGATGCAGTCCAGAACTGAACCTGCGGTTCAGGACGCCTGCTCGTCGTCATCGGCGACGAGAAGGAGCAGCGCCGCCCCTCCGGCGGCAAAGAAGCCCCGGACAGAGACGCCGTCACCGATGCCGACTTTCAAGGTACGCGCGCACCGGCCGGTGGCGACCCCATATTGCCATATAGTACAACTGATCGTTCTTCCACATATATGTGTCACGTCAGTTCAAATATATTTATTCTCTCTGGCATCAAGTGATCGAGCTATAAGCCTATAATGCCTACTTGATATATTGCTTTTGAATAGAATTTGCCGTGTGTCTGTCTGGCAGGTGAGGAAAGAGAAGCTCGGGGACAGAGTCACCGCGCTCCAGCAGCTGGTCTCGCCTTTTGGAAAGGTTTCCTTTCCACCCTCCTACTTCCTTTCTGTTTTTCCCTCCATTATTAGCTTAGTAGACTACTTAACTTTCTTTTAGCTTCTGTTTGTACTATATTGCTCTGCAATTCGTGTGTAAGTTGCTGAGTATTTGCACCTTTTTGATCGATGCCCGGCCCTTTAGACGGACACGGCATCGGTTCTCCACGAGGCCATCGGATACATCAAGTTCCTTCACGATCAAGTTGCCGTGAGTACCAAAATTCCCTAAGCAACCCCTAGCTCATTATAGATGCTCCAAGGCTCCAAGCTTTGTTTTCGCTTACTTATTGCAGATTCCCAAACAGCTAGCACAAGTAATATTTTCATGATGCACACGCCATTAACTGGGTTTTTCTCTGCATGCAGTCTCTCAGCTCTCCCTACTTCATCAGGTGTAGTGGCGGTCCGGTGCAGCTCCAGCACAAACAGGTACCAGTATATTGCTATTGCAGCGCTGTTTCCTCAATTTCCTCTCACTTATGAATTGCATTTTTCTCATGAACTAGGCTTCCGATGGCGACGCCGGCGAGGCAAAGGAGGATCTGCGGAGCCGTGGCCTGTGCCTTGTCCCGGTGGCGAGCACTTACACGATGGCTAGCGAGACGGCAGCACCGGAGTTCTGGCACCCTACCTTCGGAGGCACGTTTCATTGATTCTAATAAGATCCGTAGACATGCAAGTAGTATCTAGCAGATTATAGCCACTCAGCTAGGCAGTTATGCATATATATGTGTGTGTTTGTGTGTCGGCTAAGCAATGTATACTCATGGTCTCATGCCACACCACTAAATCACATTGTTGAAGCAAAAGCGAGAAAGGCTTTTAAGCAATCAGCAATGTGCGGACAAAGTCAAATCATGTGTATATATTGAATCGAAGAAAAACTGAAGAGCGGTAAAAAAGGAAATAAACTTGAAAAGAATTATATGCACTAGGAACTTAGTAAAACGGAACTACTCCCTCCGTTCCTAAATATTTGTCTTTTTAGAGATTTAAAATGGACTTTCACATACAAATGTATATAGACATATTTTAGAATGTAGATTCACTTATTTTGCTCCGTATGTTGTCACTTGTTGAAATCTCTAGAAATACAGATATTTAGGAACGGAGGGAGTATTTTGCACATGACACTTAACTTTCCGATCCTTGCAACGATTGATGATCCAAAGTCCAGCTCCAAGCAGCGGATGTGACGAAAGAACGCGGTGAATCGTAGTATAAAAATCGTCCAAACAGTATCGGGCGTGTAGCATTGCTCTTAGTAAAATGCATATTTTTGTGTGAATTATATCCACAGTCCTTAAACTTGAGCGGTGCACTTGCTTTTTTTTCCTTTTTCCGAAAGGGGGTTAAACCCCTGGTCTTTGCATCATCATGGTCCTCAAACTCAAAAGGGCTATTTTGGTCCCTAAACCCAGGTTTGTACCTTACTTTGGTTGAAATCACAATCTTTTTGGCAACTCTGGAACACGTGGACATGGATGATGACTTGAGTTATTGACGTGGCATTCACTATGCCTGGGGGAGCAAGTTCCCCAGCTACGAGACTGTTCAGTAGCATATTTGTTTCGCATTTTGCCCTCATTGTTCAACGAAGCATACTCATTTGGCCTATGTTTCCATTATGAACTCTAGAGGAAAAGAAGGGGTGTGGTGACACTGGGGATCGTCGAAGGGAGACGGATTGGTGACTTATGGACTGGAATGTCAGTGATAGGTGGGGAATACTGCTACCTCTTGAGCTTGTGTTGGTTTTCCCTTGAAGAGGAAAGGGTGATGCAGCAAAGTAGCGTAAGTATTTCCCTCAGTTTTGAGAATCAAGGTATCAATCCAGTAGGAGACGACGCACAAGTCATTGAATACCTGCACAAACAATCAAGAATGCAACCAACATGATAAAGGGGTTGTCAATTCCTTCACGGTCACTCGCAAAAGTGAGATCTGATAGAGATAGATAAACGGTAAAGTAAATATTTTGGTATTTTTTGGTGTATAGATTGGAAAGTAAAGATTGCAAAATAGTAGATCGGAAACTAGCAAGATGTAAACGAGATTCAATAATATGGAAAAGAGACCCCGGGGCCCATAGGTTTCACTAGTGACTTCTCTCGAGATAGCAAATATTACGGTGGGTGAGCAAATTACTACCGAGCAATTGATAGAAAAGCGCGTAATTATGATGACATCTAAGGCAATGATCATGAACATAGGCATCACGTCCGTGTCAAGTAGACCGACTCCTGCCTGCATCTACTACTATTACTCCACACATCGACCACTATCCAGCATGCATCTAGAGTATTAAGTCCATAAAGAACGGAGTAACACATTAAGCAAGATGACATGATGTAGAGGAATTAACTCAAGAAATATGATGAAAACCCCATCTTGTTATCCTCGATGGCAACAATACAATACGTGCCTTACTGCCCCTACTGCCACTGGGAAAGGACACCGCAAGGTTGAACCCAAAGCTAAGCACTTCTTCCATTGCAAGAAAGATCAATCTAGTAGGCCAAACTAAACCAATAATTCGAAGAAACTTGCAAAGATATCAAATCATGCATATAAGAATTCAGAGAAAAACCAAATAATATTCATAGATAATCTTGTTCATAAATCCACAATTCATCGAATCTCGGCAAACACACCGCAAAAGAGTATTACATCGAATAGATCTCCAAGAACATGGTATTGAGAATCAAAGAGAGAGAAGAAGTCATCTAGCTAATAACTATGGACCCGAAGGTCTGTGGTAAACTACACACGCTTCATCGGAGAGGTAATGGTGTTGATGTAGAAGCCCTCTATGATCGAATCCCCCTCCGGCAGATCGTCGGAAAAGGCCCCAAGATGGGATCTCACGGGTACAGAATATTGAGGCGGCGGAAAAGTGGTTTCGTGGCTCCCCCTGATGTTTTTAGGCTATAAGAGTATATATAGGCGAAGGAACTAGGTCAGGGGAGCCACGAGGGACCCACGAGGGTGGGGGGCGTGCCCTACCCCCCCTGGGCGCGCCCTCCCTCCTCGTGGCTTCCTCGTTATGTCTCCGACTTCATCTCCAAGTCTTCTTATTGCTTTCGGTCCAAGAAAGATCATCGCGAAGGTTTCATTCCGTTTGGACTCCGTTTGGTATTCCTTTTCTGCAAAACTCTAAAATAGGCAAAAAAACAGAAACTGGCACTGGGCCCTTGGTTAATAGGTTAGTCCCAAAAATAATATAAAATAGCATATTAAAGCCCATTAAACATCCAAAACAAATAATATAATAGCATGGAACAATCAAAAATTATAGATACGTTGGAGACGTATCAAGCATCCCCAAGCTTAATTCCTACTCGTCCTCGAGTAGATAAATGATAAAAACAGAATTTTTGATGTGGAATGCTACCTAACATATTTATCAATGTAATTTTCTTTATTGTGGCACGAATGTTCAGATCCGAAAGATTCAAGACAAAAGTTTAATATTGACATAAAAGCAATAATAATTTAAGCATACTAACAAAGCAATTATGTCTTCTCAAAATAACATGACCAAAGAAAGCTTGTCCCTACAAAATCATATAGTTTGGCTATGTTCCATCTTCGTCACAAAATATTCAAATCATGCACAACTCCGATTTCGGCCAAGCAATTGTTTCATACTTTAGTATTCTCAAACTTTTTCAACTTTCATGCAATACATGAGCGTGAGCCATGGACATAGCACTATAGGTGAAATAGAATGGTAGTTGTGGAGAAGACAAAAAGAGGGAGATAGTCTCACATCAACTAGGCGTATCAACGGGCTATCGAGATCATCAATAGATATCAATGTGAGTGAGTAGGGATTGCCATGCAATGGATGCACTAGAGCTATAAGTGTATGAAAGCTCAAAAAGAAACTAAGTGGGTGTGCATCCAACTTGCTTGCTCATAAAGACCTAGGGCATTTGAGGAAGCCCATCGTTGGAATATACAAACCAAGTTCTATAATAAAAAATTCCCACTAGTATATGAAAGTGACAAAACAAGAAACTCTCTATCATGAAGATCATGGTGCTACTTTGAAGCACAAGTGTGGTAAAAAGGATAGTAGCATTGCCCCTTCTCTCTTTTTTCTCTCATTTTTTTGATTGGCTTCTTTGGCCTCTTTTTTTATTTCCTCACATGGGACAATGATCTAATAATGATGATCATCATACTTCTATTTACTTACAACTCGAAAAATTACAACTCAATGCTTAGAACAAAATATGACTTTATGTGAATGCCTCCATCGGTGTACCGGGATATGCAATGAATCAAGAGTGACATGTATGAAAGAATTATGAAAGGTGGCTTTGTCACAAATACGATGTCAACTACATGATCATGCAATGTAATATGACAATGATGAAGCGTGTCATAATAAACGGTATGGTGGAAAGTTGCATGGAAATATATCTCGGAATAGTTATGGAAATGCCATAATAGGTAGGTATGGTGGCTGTTTTGAGGAACGTAAATGGTGGGTGTATGGTACCAACGAAAGTTGTGCGGCACAAGAGAGGCTAGCAATGGTGGAAGGGTGAGAGTGCGTATAATCCATGGACTCAATATTAGTCATAAAGAACTCACATACTTATTGCAAAAATCTACAAGTCATCAAAACCAAGCACTACGCGCATGCTCCTAGGGGAAGGGTTGGTAGGAGTTAACCATCGCGCGATCCCGACCTCCACTCGTAAGGAAGACAATCAAAGAGATATCTCATGCTTCAAATTTGTTACACAATGGTTACCATACGTGCATGCTACGGGACTCACAAACCTCAACGCAAGTATTTCTCAAATCCACAATTACCCCACTAGCATGACTCTAATATCACCATCTTCATATCTCAAAACAATCATAAAGAATCAAACTTCTCATAGTATTCAATGCACTTCTTATGAAAGTTTTTATTATATCCATCCTAGATTTCCATCATATTAGGACTAAATTTATAACCAAAGAAAATTACCATGATGTTCTAAAAGACTCTCAAAATAATATAAGTGAAGAATGAGAGTTCAACAATTTCTATAAAATAAAGCCATTGTCGTGCTCTAAAAAGATATAAGTGAAGTACTAGAGCAATATTTCCTAGCTCAAAAGATATAAGGGAAGCACATAGAGTATTCTAATAAATCACGATTCATGCGTGTCTCTCCTAAAAGGTGTGTACAGCAAGGATGATTGTGGTAAACTAAAAAGCAAAGACCCAAATCATACAAGACGATGCTCCAAGAAAAACACATATCATGTGGTGAATAAAAATATAGCCTCAAGTAAAGTTACCGATAAACAAAGACGAAAGAGGGGATGCCTTCCGGGGCATCCACAAGCTTAGGCTTTTGGTTGTCCTTGAATTTTACCTTGGGGTGCCTTGATAATCCCCAAGCTTAGGCTCTTGCCACTCCTTATTCCATAGTCCATCAAATCCTTACCCAAAACTTGAAAACTTCACAACACAAAACTCAACAGAAAATCTCATGAGCTCCGTTAGTATAAGAAAATAAATCACCACTTCAACTTACTGTTGCAAACTCATTCTTTGTTTATATTGGTGTAATATCTACTGTATTCCCACTTCTCCATGGTTCATACCCCCCGATACTACCCATAGATTCATTAAAATAAGCAAACAACACGCGAAAAACAGAATCTGTCAAAAACAGAACAGTCTGTAGTAATCTGTAACTCTCGAATACTTCTGTAACTCCAAACATTCTGAAATAAATTAGTGGACGTCAGGAATTTGTCTATTAATCTTCTGAAAAAAGAATCAACTCAAAATCACTATTCTATAAAAAATGACAGCTAATCTCGTAAGCGTAAAGTTTCTGTTTTTTACAGTAAGATCACATTAACTTTCACCCAAGTCTTCCCAAAGGTTCTACTTGGCACAAACACTAACTAAAACTTAAAACCACATCTAACCAGAGGCTATATGAATTATTTAATACTAAACAGGAACAAAAAGCAAAGAACAAAAATAAAATTGGGTTTCCTCCCAACAAGCGCTATCGTTTAATGCCCTTAGCTAGGCATATAATTTCAATGATGCTCACATAAAAGAGAAGAATTGAAGCACAAAGAGAACATCATAAAACACGTGACAAACACATCTAAGTCTAACATACTTCCTATGCATAGGAATTTTATAAGCAAACAAATTATCAAGGCAAGCAAAAACTAGCATATGCAAGGATGAAGAAAAAGACGATAGCAATCTCAACATGAAGAGAGGTAATTTAGTAACATGAAAGTTTTTACCACCATGTAGGATCATAAGCAAATTCAAAAATATAACTATCACATAACATATTTTCAACATGATCCACATGCATGCAAAGTTGACACTCTTCCAAAATAGTGGGATTAACATTAACTAAAGTCATGACCTCTCCAAACGCACTTTTATCAAAAAATTCATAAGATTGAACATTCTCCAAATATGTGGGATATAAAATTGACACTCTTACAAACCCACTTTCAATATTATAGCAAACATTACTATCAATCTCATATTCATCATGGGGCTTAAATAAATTTTCAAGATCATAAGAAGAATCACCCCAATCATGATCATTGCAACAAGTAGTAAAACTAGCATTCCCAAGCTTAGGGTTTTACATATTATTAGCACAATTGACATCAATAGAATTTATAGTAAAATCATTGC